TCTCTCTCTCTCTCTCTCTCACAAACAAACAAACAAACAAACAAACAAACAAACAAACAAACAAACAAACAAACAAACAAACAAACAAACAAACAAACGTACCTTTGAACTCATTTCACAAAGTGCTACCGTAATTCTAATAGAAATTTTGACCTTTGATGTAAAGTCGAATTCAGTAAATTCAATAAGGGGATCCCTTCCGAATTAACGGAATTCAGCTTTACACCAATGTCAAAATCTCTTTTGGACCAATGATGGAAGAACTTTTTGACGTGAAATCAAAGGTACGTCTTCCTGGGTGCAGTCCCATCGACGCCGTGGTCACTTCTCACCGAATGCTATCCTCCCGCAGGCCTACCTGCGCGAGCTGATGCGGGCTGTCAACGAGGACGGCGTCAACGTGCTGGGCTACAACATGTGGTCCTTGCTGGACGACTTCGAGTGGAGCGCGGGCTACACGTGAGTACCACGGAGGAAAAGTAACTTTTCAAAGTACGTTTCTGTTTCTTCTACTCCATAACTTTTGCGTTACTTGACTCCCTAACTTTTTAATTGACTTTTGAGTTACTACTTTTGCTCCGTGAGTGCACGGTGCTGCACGGTCTGCTGTCTTGTGCGGGGTGATATCGAGACGATGTTACTCCGACATCGAGTGAAATTACGGAGTGATTCACAACCCCCTCGGCACCGTTTCCACTCGATAATGATGTCTCCGCAGGCGCGAGTTCGGCCTGGTGCACGTCGACTTCGAGGGTGGCACGCTGGCCCGGACCCTCAAGAGGTCGCACCACTTCTTCAAGCGCATGATGGCGGACCGGTCCGTGCCCCTGGTGCTCGCGTCCGCGACGCGCAGCGCCGGCGTCACCATCGCGCCCTCCCTCTGCGTCCTCCTCTACTCTGCTGTCTCGCTGCTCCACACCCTCTCACATTAACACAAACCGAACAACAATCTGTGGTATTATGAATGTGTTTTTCTCTCTTCTTTCCCTTCTCACGCCTCACGCATTACAAGACAAACATTTGCTTGAACATTTATAATTCATGTGAAAAGAACAATCACTGCTGAGGAGGTTGATTTCAACTCAACCGATGCCCCACTAGAGAAGACGAGCTTTTCGGCGGTAACAAATAGGGTTTGAAATTTCCAAAATTTTCCGGAAAATTTCCGGAAATGAACGGAAAACTTTCGAAGTCTGGGAAGGACCCGACTCTGCCCGCAGCCGCTGCGTGCCGACACGCCCACTCAGCTACCAGCGGGAGGAGCAGCTGGGGGGGGGGGACTGGGTAGGCCTGCCTGCCGGACCCGCGTGTGCGGCGGGCTAGCCTACCCGGCGATTCACAGGCGCTCCCCGCCTCCCCGCTCAGGTTCGCTCGCATCGCGTCGCCGACACGTCGCGACGGCCTCCACAGCCCAACAGGAGTACCTTGTATGGAGGTGCGGTACGTTGTTGACGGAGCGCCTGTTCCCGCGATCACCCGACTTCGATAACCACTACGGTGCACTACACTACTTCCATTTTTCCGATTGTGTCGGTGCGGGTAGGCGTTCACTCTCCGGTGAGCTCTCTAATCTCACTGCAGGCGACACCCTCGAGCCCCGCTAGGGTTGGAAATTTCCAAAATTCAAAGTTTCCGAAAAATTCCCGAAAATTTCTAGAAAATAGCGGGAAACATCCAAAGTCTGGGAAAATTTTCATTTTCCCCCCTTTTTTTTCCAACCCTAAACCTCTCGTCTGAATTTGCCCATGAAGAGGGCTGTCGTTGTGACTTGTCGGAGATAATGCTAATGCGGCGTTCCTGTTTGAGGCCACAAAAATGTGTTGTTCCCGAACTTCAAGACGCACAAACAGCTGGAACCCCTTCACACTTAACATTTTCACGCTCGACTTGACCCGGTAGTGCAAAACGTCCGCACTTCAAAACGTGTGTGAACAAAAATTTTCTTAACTTTTACAATTTCTAAGCCGTCAGTGACAACACAAAATGGCTCGTTCCCTGGAGTGACAACTCGTATTCGCCCCCATGGCTCAGTCTCAGTCGGTAGCGTGGGTCGGCGGTTCGAATCTCCGGCGATCTGAAATTTTTCTCAGGCCACCAAATGTCAAATGGACTTCAAACCCGTCATTTCACCACGCCCCCCTCTCGTGGAGTTCCGGCAGCGTAGTGGTCCTCGTCCTGGTGGCACTGCGTCGAAGGTGACCATGACTCGGCTCTGGGACCGGGGTTCTACTCACGGCTAAAGCGGGCCGTGGGAGTTCCCTGTTCCTAGCACAACCGTCTCACAAACCCCGGGAGTATGTCGTCTGTTCTGACTGTGGTTGGAAGCGGCTGATCCATTTACGAACTCAGAAGCGAGGGGGAACCAACTTGGAAATTTGGTGAACTGTGAATATATTCAAATATTCAATGTCACTGAATACCAGTGAATATCATTGAATACCAGTGAATATTCACTGTGATTGTTGATTAATATCCTTGAATATTGATGAATATCGATGAATATTTTGAATATCTTGTGAATATTCGCAAATATCACCTGAATACCTATTAGATATTAACCAGCGGGTGCACCGTGAATAGTCGAAGTTGATGCCCCCTCGCTCAGAAGTCGCCAAGACTGCGGTGGGATGAGAAAAGTACTCCCCCATTTTTTTTTCTCGGGTTGTGGGAGAGAGGCGTAAGCATTTACTACTTCGAGCGGACTTACTTCTACAGTCGGTTCTAGCTGCCTGTGCCTGTGGCTGTGTGTCGGTTGTGGCTACAAACAGGGACGTGGGCTCGGACAGCTTGTCGGGGGAAAGGGGGGGGGGGGTGCGGCGGAGCCACCCCGTCACCCCTGCACGTAGACGGTGCACGTTGCGACGCGAGCGCGCTCTTCCGGCGACTTGTGAAACCACACCACACAACTCTGGCGCCGACCATAACCACAGGCCATAGCCAAAACATCGTCTGCTGGGCAGAGCGCTGACCTACGCCTGCCGATGACAGCAGGACACCTGAGGATTTCGGCTTTCTTTACTTGGCCGCACTTGAATGTTGTAAAGCCCGGAAAAGAAGTATTTTGGTGGCAGGAATTTTACCTGACCGTCTAAGAATCCGAGAAAGTGACCATACTGCATGTACACTCGCAATCTATAGATTAGCCTTGATAAGAAAATCAACCTAATCGGGTACGGAAAATGGCTGCGGGCGGTCTGGGCTATAACCATCAACACCAGCACTACAAGAATGTGGTTGGAACTGTGTGTGAACTTCTGAATCGGTACAAAGCTGTTCTTGAATTTATTGAAAGGGGTGTTAAACAGAGGGCATTGTTGAAAGTTGAAAAGATTTCTTCAAAGCCGGAGTTAAACCCAGATGGTTCAGAGTATCCAATAAATTTCTTTGTCTCCATCGGAACTATTATAAAATGTTTGTGTCATAAATTTGATGAAACAGGAGAGCATAAATGTGGCTGGTATGTAGCTGAAGTTCTTGCTGTTGGTCTCAATTTGATTGACCCAAAACTTTTGAATGGATTGTGTGAACCTATGTTAAACAGAGTTGGTTTAATATCTCAGGTTGATAAAAGACAAGCTATTATTACATATACGGATGAATTTGATAATCAACATGACGTTTTACTCTTAGGTAGCAAAATGTTTATATCTGGGAAACGAATAAATTCCAAAACGCACCTCAGTAGTATTGTTACCATTAACGACAAAGTTTATTTTGATGCGGTACCTGTAGACGCAGAAGAAAATGATAAACGATTTTCCTGGTTTGCCACTATAGGTTGGAAAAATGTTAAACCCTCTGTTGATTATGAAACGGCTGTCTCTGAAGCAGATCAACTTCTTTCTACTATAAAGACTATAATTAAAAATCCTAAGTCTCAATTTATTCGTGGCAAAGGGCAAGTAGTTCGCATTTTGAATCATGAGTATGGAGTGGCCTTAGGCCTTGTAAATGATAAAGGGAACCATTGGCAATCAATTCTTTTCCATCGGTCAAATGTTTCTGTCTTTAAATTTTTTCTTACAGATACTAATTTATGCACGGTTTTACAAAAAGGTGATAAAATACGATTCATTGCTGCTGCAGCTCCTTCTGGATATAGTACCCAGTGGGTAGCCTCATATATTGGCATAGATGTGGTAGGGGCAGCCAAAGATTTTGTTAATGGAACTATTTATGCAAATAAGGTAGAAACAGGATCAGTGGATGGGAATTTAAAGCCTTTTAAAGAAAAATCTGAAAGACCTCTTGAAAATTTAACGGGTAGATTAGATGTTATTAAAATTAGTACTCCCACCCAGAAGAAGGCTGTACCTACACCTAAAACCAAGGGTAACAAAAAGAAATCCCTGAAACATATCTAAGTGTATACTATCTGAAATTTTAAAAATTCTGTATCAGGCTTATCAACTGGGCACCCTTACTTGTTAAGAGTTCGCTTCTAATGTTATTCATTATCTTTTAATACCTGACTGGAATACGTGTCATTCAAATTCCACTTTTTCTAATGAAAGTAGAAGCTAGATATTAGCAAAAAGTATTGTATGAATTTTACTATGTACTTAACACATCATTTTATTCATGTTAAAGAGTTGTGTAACTGCTGCATTGTCCAGAAGTACTCAAACAACTCTTCCTTGTTATGAAATACAGATAAAGCGTGAGGAGTTCAGTTGCACAGTCAGCAATAAAGCAATGATGAGTTCTCTGCACTTTTAATTCAGTTATTGCATACTTTCTTGGCTTCAACAGGTGCTTGCCACAATTGTAAAAAGACAATAGAAACAAAATCAAAAGGAAATTCAAAACTTTCACACCTTCATGAGTCATACATGACATTCAAAACGACTTTGTTTTAAATGAGATTCTAACATTGCATTCTCAAATTTTCAAGTTACAGAAATTCAGAACTTGCACTACTTTTCAAAATTCTTCACATATGGACTCTACAATTGAATGACAAAAAACAGATGTACTACTGATTTGGCATCAAGTCACATTAAACAGTTCTTATTGCTGAAAATAACAAATCATGTTAGAGGAAAAGTATGCATCAAAATATTTGGCACTTTTAATACAAACTAAAAGATCTCAAGAGGAAAATGAAAATAGAAAGTGATAAAAAAGAGAAGAAAACAAAAACAAAACTCCTTTCACTACATTTGTCAATTTACTATGTTAGAATTACTGTAGTTTTCTAAACTTGACTGCATAAAATGCATGTAAAATTAAATTAGATAATGAAGCATCAGTCACTAATACTCTTTTCTCAAACCTGAGAGCCTTCTGAGTACATACATGTAATCATTTACCATATTAGAATTTCACTCAAGTGAATAGGTACCTAAAATGAGGCTGTGCTGTGATATGGCAATCTTACAGCTGGAATGAATAAAAACAAATCTTTTTAAATACATAGAAGTAAACTTTAAACTCAGCCATTCCTCACTCCAACTACAGCCTTTTTAACACCACACAATACATCACCCAATAACTGCAATGGTGCACAAAGTCTACTAACGTTTCATAGGAAAAAAAGTAAATGACTAGGGTGGAATAAAAATACAAACTGTTACGCTCCGTACATAAAAAAACAAAAACAAAAACCACAATCAAATGCAGTATTTCCAGATGACAATGTGAACAAATATTGTGAACTTTGTGATATTACACGATTAGTAGTACTGGAAAAAAGTCACCTAAAAGGACCTACAGAATTCCTGAATACTTGCAAAGAATTATGTGACTAAAAAATGAAAAGAGAACTGAGCAAGTTGTAAAATCTAGAAGCTGCAGGAAATGGAAGAGAGTCACTTAAAAGATTCTACAGTTTGAACGAAAGCTATGGAACATACAATGAGCCAAATATTCTTAAATGTTGTCAGATATTCTCCAATGTACGTACTTTTAAAATTTTATTAAGCTTAGCGAGTGTGCAAATGTTCCATTGATAATATTTCACTAACTAACAAATATTAATCATATGAAAAAAAAATGGTTGAAGCTCTAGCCCAACAAATTAAGGATAAAATATCTACCAAAGACAATAGTGCTATGTATATATGGCTGTACAATATATGTACTTAACTCAAAAACAAGACAACTTCCAGTTTGGTGGTAAACTAAACATTAACATGATCATAGAAATGTGTCTAGAACTTATCAAAATATATCACAGATTTCACCTACTTGACATAATTGTATTGAATAAATAAAGCACAAATTGGCAGAGGAAAGGAATGTTCTATTTGCTTACACGGAAATGCCCTTTTCAGGTGTAAAACTTCAATTGAAAGATTTAAACATAAATAAACAACAGGATGCATGAGCTTTATCCAAATCGCAGATTTACACCTAAAAAAGTTCCCATGTGGACCCTATTATTAGAGCAGATGGTTACCTCCATTACTCTAAAAACAACCAAAAAAAAGAAAACAATAACAAAACAAAACTAATGTTTTAAGGTAGTCAAACTTTAAAATTTTCTTTGCATTAACAGTTTGTTTGAGGATGCCTCACGGGCGCGCTCCTGCTGCAGCCCCTGCGCCCGTCGCTCTCCCTGGAAGACGGTTGGCTGGAGCTGGAGCTGACGCCCGAGTCGCTGGACCGCTCGCTGACGCTGGCGTTAGTGATGTGGACGCCCACGACCCCAGACACGCTGCTGGGCGCCGCCTGCTCGGCTCCCGGGTGGAGTCCGTTGAGGGCCGACGGGTGGAGGCCGTGCGCCTGCTGGTCCGCGGGTAGGCTGCCAGCATGGGCGCCGTCGCAGCTGTCCGAGCCGTCACCGTCCTTGAGCACGCCGGCCGGCCCGTCCCCGTCAACGGGAGGTCCCTTGGCCGCGAAACGCTGATCGGCGGCGTCCTGGGCGGCGGCGGCGGCCGTCGGGGACCCTTCCAGCGGCGCGGGTGGGGTGGCGCCCGGGGAGGGCAAGGGCCTCGCGCGCCGCGCCGACGAGGACGAGGATGACGTTGAACCGGTGCGCGGCAGCACCGGGGGGCCCGGGGTGCGGGGCGCCGCCTCCACGGTGACGCACTTGCCGCCCTTGCGCGCCACCACGTACGAGTCGATGGACGCGCTGGTGGCGCCGGCCCCCGGGACGGGGATGTTGGGGTGGTAGCTGGCGGCGGCCGGGGCGGGGGCCGGCGGGCTGCTCCGGCGGCCTTTGGGGACCGCCCTGGCGCACACCCGCGGCGCCCTGCTCGCGCCCGCCCCATGCTGGTCCAACAGCCCGGGCGGGAACTTGCCAGAGAGCGGCAGCGGCTGCGGCGCCCTGCCCAGGCCGAGGTCCGACCCGGAAGAGCTGTCGTACTCCTCCTCGCCGTCATCGACATCGTCGTCGTCGTCATCCTCTCCCCCAGAGTCAGACTCGCCATTGCTATTATCGGTTGCTGCTGAAACGGTAGAGAAGAATGCAGTTTGTACCAGGTTTATGTAGGAGGAGTGACAGTTCTTTATGAGGGCCGGGCACTCACTGCAATCATAGTCATGGAGAAGCCGAATAGCAGCTCGTATTTTGGCACGAGTTTCAGTCGATTTGATTCCCAAATAATCCAAGTCTTCTTCTCGTAGATCCTTGAATGATTCTATGTCCTCATACCCATTAAGAATGAACACAGAGGTACATTCCTGCAAACAGACAAAGGAAAAGTTACTAAAAGGGCAATCGGTTTACTGATCCAAGCATGTAGGAAATGGACATAAATAACATACTGAACGTGTAGTACAACAGAACAGTTTATGAGCCTTCTGAGTGCAAACCTTACCTCTAAGTTTACTCTTCTGAGAAGCTCTTCAACAGAATGTGGTCTACCCTTGAGATGCCCTCGAGAGGACTGCTGAGTGAGCATCACACTACCCGGTATTACTTCAACATTAATAAATTTGAAGAAACCAATATTTCCATTGAGACGCCCTCGCCACATGCCGCTTGGACTCATAGCGAGTATTTCGAGAATATCACCTTTCTGCAACAATCAAAATGCAATTAGAATTTGTCCAAGCTGAATACTGAATATATTATACTGAATTGGTTTGTATGTTTAGATTTTTCAGAATTACCTTAAATTTAAGGGCATCTCTATCATATGGGCTGGGGTTGTAGTCAACAAGAGCCCGAGCTCTACCTATTGTATGGTACACATCATGACTTGCAATTGGAGACAGGGAGCTCTCATTGCTACCATCTCGAACCAAGGCTTGAGTACCTGAAAATTAAGTTTGATTAGAAAATGACCAAACTAAAAATTTGTTTTCGGTCAGATGACCCTCCTGAGAAATAGGTAAATTGGAAAATAACAACCCTGCATGAATTCCCGACTATTATGGAAGGTTTCTATGGTGTGTTGCCACAGATTTAACCATACTTACTCGATCCTGAACCTGACGGCAAACTCTCCATTGAACTGGCTGCTGGGAGGTGCTCCATTGGAATTGCTTGTTCTGACTGGTCGCATCCCCTGTAGCACGATGGATTACTGCTGTTGTTACTAGAACCTGTCAAGCCCCTCAGTCTGGATATCTTCCGTTGAACATCTTGTCGTAGGCCCTTCATCCGTCCCACAAGTGAGATACTGCGTGGTTGTGACTAAACAGATACACAGATCATTAAAAAGTGACCAGGAGATGAGAAGTACTTCACTGCAGCTTTGAAACCATAATAGTTTCCTTGTAGGCAACAAACAAGAAAATACTTGCCTCAGTTTGGGTTTCAACCAAGTCAGGACTTCTGCAAGGACTGAGGGTCCCTTCGCTCTGGCTACTACGACACTAGAAACAACCAAGTGCATGATGAGAGGAAGTTAAAATAAAAGAACACAAGTGCATAGGACATTAACCGCCCTCCTACTGCATGATAGATAATAAACATTTTCAAACCAAATTGGGCTTAAATAATTATTCCATGATGTGCCACTTACTCGGTACTGATGCTTCTTGATTGCAGCCAACTGCTGTTGATCCCAGTGGTATCCGATAGACATGGCCGACAGATGGGAACTGGAAACAGAAGCAGGACATGATTAGAATGAAGACTGGTGCAGCGAGACACTTGTGCAGTGAGCGTGACTGTGCAAGACGCCACTGTGAGAAATTCTTGAAAGGGTTTACAGGAAAATTTTCCATGACGTGCGCCATACAATAATGACTTTTAGTTGTAAAATTTATCGACTTGGGATTCAATGACAAGAAAGAATGAGCTGTAGGAAATTTACAGCAAATTCTGTAAATCGCTGATACAAAACATGTTGTAAATTTCCGAAGATATGTTTCACAGTGCTGGCGCCCACCTCATATTGTGCACGTCGGAGCAGCTCCCGCGCTGGTCGTGCTGCGCCGGCCCGGGCCCCGGCCGGCCCCTGCTCCGGTCCCGTCCCTGGAGGCCCTGCGCTTGCCCGCGGGCCCGGCCCCGGCCGCGGCCGCGCCGCTGCAGGCTGACCAGGCGCATGCCGGGGACGTGGCCCGCAGCGGGCGCCGCCGTCCCTCCCAGGGAGATGTCGCCCGCGCTTCGGAGACTGATCACGGCCTCGTCCAGGGCGGTGGGGCGCAGGTTCAGCGTCAGGCAGGTCCTGGTGCACGTCAAGAAATAAAAACCCGACTTCAGTTATTTGATATGTTAGGGCAAAAAACAAGCACGAGTCTATACCGTGAGAAATATTTTTGGAGTGTACGGGCGCGAAAATTTTCTGTGAGAAATGTTGTAAGCTTACGATTTTAAATTGTTCAATTACAAAATTCTTTTGACTCTACGTTTTCAGGTGAAATTCTTTAACAAGCAAAAACAGTTCAAAGTAAATTTACAGTATCAATTGAACATTTACCAAATCGATTGTCAATAAATTGTCGAATAATTACAAAAAGATGTTGTAAATTAACGAAAAAAATAAATAAATCACAGTGAATTCTTATGGAACAGAAGTAGTAAAACCCAGGTAGCAAGGTCTTGTTTTTTTAGCGCATTTCTGTCGCACTGATGCGCGGCTCTGCTCCCTGAGAGGAGCCTCGCGTACCTTCCGTTGGGGATGACGCCCCCCGCGGCCGTCCCGGGGATCACGCCCATCAGGAAGTCCTCTGGATCGCTCTCGTAGGGCGGCTCGTCGTACCAGTGGCCCAGGTGCAGAGGCCCGGCCTGGTGGCCCTGGTGGCCCTGGAGGCCCCCCTGAGGCGGGGGCCCCGCGCCGAGCTGCCCGCCGCCCTGGTGCCCGGCCTGGTGCCCACCCGAGGGGCCCGCCCCGGGGGCGCCCGCCGTGGCCGCCATCAGCTCCGTGTCGTACATGTAGGTGTCGTCTGCTGGAACAATTAAAACAAGGCGACTGTCACTTCACTTTCCCACAAACAATCCAACGTGAACATTGTGAATCTACAAGAAAAATGCGCAATTAAAAAAAATAAATTATTGTAAAGTTGGCAAAAAAAAGTTTATCGTTAAACAAAGAAGGAAACATAAAATTTGTGAATTTACAAAAGATTATGAGCCCAATTAAGAAAAACTATAAGTGACTTGTAGTTATTTTAATTTATAAACAGGAACGGGCCTAGAAACTCACCAAGTCGGGTTTGGGGATCCAGTCTCAGCAATCCTTGACGGATGTCTCGTAGTATCTGGAGACAAAACAAATTGTTGTAAAAAACTAAACACTTTTCTAAAGCCTAATGTAAACGGGAGTGATAAAGAAAAACGGGTGATATTTTGGTGCAAAAGCGTCTCTAGAATAAGTTCAACGATGAAAATATTTTTTTTTAAATGCTATTCTGGTTACAATGGGAGGGCTGGAAAGTAGATATAAGTGGGGGGCAAGTGGTACGTAGCTGTACGAGCCCTACTTACCTCCTCGTGTTCTCGATGATACCGCTCCTTCTGGCGGATAGCATCTTGCAGTTTAAGCTAAAAACACACCAAAAAAACACACAAAATAGTTAGACCACATTGTGATTTTACCCAAAAAGTTCTAAGCTTATGTAGATAGCAGGCCAGACAAGCAAATGTACACTACTAACAAAACCTGAGAAGAAAAATCGGGTTCAGGGGGCCACACAAGCATCTTAGCAGTGTGTCCCAATTCTCTTTGGAGAAGAAGCCCAAGGCCTAGCCCGGGGCCTAGCCCCTAGCCCATCGCCATAGACACAATCTGCCAAGCAGTGTGCATTTTTCACCCGGTCCGGAGCCATTCTCCCCTCTCCCCGACCACCCGACCCGACGACCCATCCCCCACTCACCCTGTGAATGGTCTCTTCAAAGTCCGCCTGGGGCCCCCTGGGCCCGGCGGCGCCCGCCCCCGCCGCCCCACCGCCCCCGACGCCCCCGACGCCACCGCCGTTCAGATGAAGCAGCCTGTCGTACTCCCGGAGGTCAAGGAACTGCGGCACCAGCGCGGCGTCCCCGTCCGGCGTCGTCACCTGCACAACAGAGGGCGGAAAGTGAGAACAGGGGGTGAGGTGGAGGGGAGGGGGTGGGGACTTGAGGGGTGGGGGCTAGAGGGGTGGGGGCTAGAGGGGTGGGGAAAGGGAAAGGGGGCTCGGAGGTAGCGGGGCGAGCCTGCTCGAGCCGGGCAAGTCAAGAAAGTCTTTCGCGCGGAGAGTCTTCGAGTCCATCCCTCCTCACGCCGCCGTCCCGCTGGGAGGTGGAGGTGAAGCAAAAGACGAAAACCGCAACAACAAAAAAATAGTGAGAAAAAACACAGCACTGGACTGCACAGCACGAGCGCAGTGGGATGGGGAGATCCCCCCCTTACCCCCGCTCAGCTCGACCCCGGTTGTGCCTCCCGAGCTGATTTTGCCCGGATGGATTAGGTGTAATAGGGGGCGCCTCAGAGCGACTTAGCGTTTCCATCTCCGGCCAAAGAGGGAAGGGAAGGGAGAGGGGGAGGGTAGGGGGCAAGGGGTAAGGAGCGAGAAGATTGAGGCTACACTACAGTGTGTTGAAAGACAAGTGCATATATGCATCCTGGTCGCACAGAAATAAACGTTTTATTTTAATTTTCAATTTTTTTGGGAAATGTTACAAGAAATTTGTTCCGTAAAACAGTGTAATATGGACCATGCGTGGTAAAGTGGACCACCCTATTTTTTTTTATATTCCGCTTCTGCTCGAATCGTGCTACCACTCAGTTCTGTTCCTGACAATGCTGAGCGACAGCTCAGTGGTTGAGCAAGTCAAGCAAAGCCGGACAAAGGAATAAGAGGGTGGTCCGCATTACCCCGTATGGTCCATATTAGCCTGTTTTACGGTTTTCAAAGTCTCTTAAATGTTTCAAATTTTTTTTGAAAATAATTTAATTTTTTGTACATTGTTGTGCGAAAGTTTTCAATTTTTTAAATTTTTTCAGACTTTCAAGTCCCTACAACGCAGACATTGCACACTTACCCTGGCGTAGATCTGGTGCGCGCGGTGCTGGCGGGGCGAGCAGTGCTGCAGCGTGAGCCCCGGGTGGCCCTGGTGGTGGTGCCCCAGGGTGGCGTGGCCCTGGTGGTGCGGCCCCAGCGTGCCGTGGTGGCCCAGGGTGGCGTGGCCGGCGTGGCCCCCGGGCCCCCGGCGCGCCGTCCGCCCCTTGCTCTTGAGCCCGCGCAGCAGACGCGACAGAGCGGTGCGCTTCTTGCCACGTGCCGCCTCTGAAACCAAAGAGTCCACATGTATCACACATAAGATTATCAACATTTC